TGAAAAATTACTTAGCTGATTATTACTTGAGAAGGAAATTCAATGGATTTATTACTATAAACTTGAAGATAACTTTTGAAATTCTATTTTTAATTTCTCAAGTCTATAACCTCCCTCTATTCAACCAACCTTATTCAACTAAAATACATTTGTTAAATATTTACAGTTTGCAGAACACTGTAGTAGGCAGAAGTTAAAATAAAAAGAATCAATGTAGCAGGGTCCCTGCCCACATAAACCTTAAGCTCTAGTGATCTATAAGCAGTAAATATTCTATTAGGACTCATAAAAATCTAGAAGGGGGGAAAGTCCACCTTTCTTACCTAGAATGAGATTTATTCATTCAACACATTTTTATTGAATCTTGTTATAGACTCACTTTTCAATTTTGTTCATGTCAGATGTAGAGTAAGTGATCTCTAAGGCCCCTTCCCAGTTTAAATCTATTATTCTACAATCTTATTAGCACTAAGAGAAATACAGTGATATAAAAGAGATGGCTCAGTCTTGCTCTCATGGAATTTATAGCCTAAACAATCACAGAATTCTAGAATGTTAGAGCTGGGAGGGACCTTTATGATAAAATTAATCCAAGACTGTTATTTAATAGAGGAGGAAATGAAGACCTGGATGGGGAAGGTGATTTATACATTGACATATACACATGTATCGGATAGTGAAAGGAGATATCCTACCATTTATGGACACTCTAACCAGGCTCCAGAGCACGGCTAAACAGATTTATGAGAACACAGGGGTAGTACCATGACTTAGGGGTTGAGGGGAGCAGAATTCTGTGGGGCTCAGTCTTGAATGGAGTCAGAGGCAGTTGCAAGTTGCAGTGACCTTCTTGAGGGGGAGACAGGAGCAGTGTGAAGGAAGACTAGCAAGGCTGCTGGTGCTTTCAATCATTATGTAGGTGCAACAGCACTTACTATAGCATGGAAGAGGGTCTGATCATTGGCCTTTCTTCCTTAGAGGATGAATATACAATACAGAGTTTTCAGTTCTTTAAAGTTATTTATTGTTTTAAGCAGTACTTTAGAAAGCCTATTCTTGTTATCTGATCTATTTTAATTACTTTTGATTCATGTATGTTGGTAACTGAGTATAGAGGAATTGCATAGGAGGAAGTAAGTAACTAGCCTGTAATCCAATGAACTAAACTAGGACAGAGATCTAAACCTTGTTCCAAACGTTAGGGTTTTTACCTATGGAGGGATCTAAACTAGGTAGACAGAGCCGCAAAGCTTTTGATTTATAATTTTTAAAAACACCCTGAAAAGAAAAGCTAAATTGTATCCAGGTGTTTTTCCCCTTTGTACTAGGCTAAATGAGTACCATGTTTACATGTCTGTCTATCTATCTAATCAGCTATCTATATATTTATTTTCATATCTATCTTGACATCTATACTGCTATTGTTCAGTTGTTTTTCAGATGTGTCTGACTGTTAGTGACCCCATGTGGGATTTTCTTGGCAAAGATACTGGCGTGGTTTTTCATTTCCTTCTCTAACCCATTTTATAGATGAGGAAAATGAGGCAAACAGGATTAAGTGACTTGCCCAGGGTCACACAGATTGAACTCATTAATATGAGTTTTTCTGACTGCAGGCCCAGCATTCTATACATTGTCCCATCTAGCTGCCCCTACATCTGGCTAGTAATACTAGCCAAATGCCTGTGATCCAGGACACAAGAAGGAGTAAATATATTTTATTTTTGTTTTGTTTTTTAATACAAATCCTGCCAGATACCTTATAGTTACAATACAAATATTCCATTTTCTTCCAGTTCCATTACATGACCCTGCCTGATCCATTTTTTCAGTTGTTTCATAAACCACTCATTGGCAAGTTTTTATTTCAAATATGCAGTTGTATTTCTCATTGCATCATCCCCACTCCATGCCTGAAGCAAACTCTCCCTATATCTCTTAGTGAAATCCTCTTTCTTTCAATGTCTAGTTCAAGTGTTATTTTCTTTGTGAAGAGAACCGTAGTTCTCTCAGCTAAAAACACACTCTTCTCTCTCAATGCCTAATAGCACTTTGAAAATGTCCTTGCCCTTTTAACGCTCTCTTATACCATACACACTTGCTTCCATTATAAGGTAAGATCTTTGGGGACAAACTGTATTTTGAATACTTGTATCCCTAGCACATAGCAAAGGGCCATGTATATCCTGCATGCTTAGGAATTCTTCAGCACTATTAGTCAGAATAGCAGACATTCAGAAGGACCTGGGCTCATTTTGAAAGCCTGGTAATCCAAGAGTGGTCTCACCCCCAGATGTTGGGGGGAAAGCAGATAATAAGACTAGCAAATCTCATGCCAATGAAGAAATTTAGTAGACCCTGGTCAATACCAACTCAAGGAATGCTACCTGTAGAAAGGAGTAAGGAAGGGAGAAACTTATAGGACTTTAGATGTAGAAAGGCCCTCAGAGGTCATTTAGGTTACCCTAACACCTACCTAGAAGAGGAAACTAAAAACCCAAGAGGTTAAGCAAAATCAGCAAACCTACTAGCATTAGAGAGTTAAGTGGCCCCAGACACATCTATTCTTACCACGTGTGACTCTCTACTAATGAACTTTATGAATATCCATCTTCCCACTGATGCTATGTATATTTGTGGAGAGTGTGGCCCAGGATTATGGGAGAGGTGTGTGTTACAACTTTTCTTACAATGCCATTTCAGCAAATAACTTTGCTTTGAGTTAATTGTGTCCTCTGTCAGATTATCAAAAGGAGCAAGGTAGGAGATCATGAGCCAGAGTTTTAGCAGTGTGGTTGCACACAATATCTTGAACTTGGGTTCAAATGTTGGCTGTGCTACTTACTACTTTTATAACCCTGAACAATCTTAATATCTTGTTCCTTAATTATAAAAGGAGATGATTGGACCTGGTGGCCTGTAGATTTATGATCTCATGACTTTCTTAAAGCAACATTGATGGTAAATCTGGGATTTAAACCTAGGTCCTTTGACTGGAATGATACTCGAATCCCTAAAGTTGGACCAACTGAATTTAATTTTTGGACTCCTTTGAGTTACTTGGTGGTGGTGGTGGAGGAGGAGGAGGCATGGGCAAGGTTAGCGCAAGAAGAGCATCCTCCACAGTCGAGGAGTTGAAGATAGTGGTGTAGCTCAGTTTTTAACATTATGAGGAATGTCTATGCTAAAACCTATGAAGGTTTTGAAGGTTTGAAGTGTCAAAAAGTTACTTAATGAACGTTTACTGAATTAAATTTTGGAATAGGAGGTATGAACAAAAGCTTTTCAGAAAAAAATTTTCATTCACTTAATTTTTTTTTCCTACCTATAACCTATATAGAATTTTTTTTTAAATGACAAGCTAATCTGACTCAAGTCTGACTCATTAAGTTAGAGAGAGATTTTCATCGCCCTGTAGGGCAAGTGCCTTAAAGTTACTAATGCCAGGCTTAGATGAGAATTTATGGAGGGCAAAAAGATGCATTTCACGAAAATCCAGATCATTTCCTAATCTAAATAGGAATAAAGAACATACAATATTGTCTTGACACTAGCAAGTAATGCTACTGTCAAAGACTTTTGTAGAGATAATATTTTTTCTGCCTTCAGGAAAAATTTTCACAATTCTATTGATGAACAGACACAGGTATTGGCACTATGATTGTTGCTTTGTTTTTGGGTAGGGGAAGGCCTTTTAGACCTAGGAGTTCCTAGGCATAAAGAAATACCCTTGTTGAAAATTCCCTGGTCTCCCACAATGCAGATCCATAACCCACCTGTAACTTAATTACTTGGAGATCTGTGGGCACTGAGAGGTTAAGAAGTGCCCGTGGTGCCACAGACCATCATATATCTGATGCAGATCTAACCCAAGATTCCTTAACTTTAAGGAAGGTGTCTTTTAATGTAATACCTTTCTTTTCCTAGTGGCACAGATTTAGACCTGGGAGGAAGCTTAGAGGTCTTCTAATATATACCCCTTACATTATAGATGAGGAAGACAGGAAGGAAGACAGGAAGACAGGAAGGAAGACAGGAAGGAAGGAAGGAAGGAAGGAAGGAAGGAAGGAAGGAAGGAAGGAAGGAAGGAAGGAAGGAAGGAAGGGAAAATGAAAAAGAAAGGCAGAGACTATTTTCTGGATTAAGTAACTTACCTCCCAAAACTGTCCATTTCCTTTTATGGCAATTGAAATCTATTTCCCTATTTAGCCTCAATGAAAAGTGAAAGTAAATAAGCAATAACGTAAAGGGAAAGATATCAGAGTTGGTTAAGAGAGAGGTGGATTTGAATCCCATCTCCCACTCATAGAAGACTCTCAGTGAAGTCACTCTTCAGTAACTTCTCTGCCTTAGTTTCTTCATCTATAAAGATATTTGTGAATTAAACGATAATGGAATAGTCTAAAAAGGATGAAACTTTAGAATACCAACACTTCATTCCCTGGAATGTAAAAGGTTCTCTGAGTATATTTTAATCAGCTGTCTGTTTTCTGTCAGTAAGGCCCATTTTCCCCTTACTACCTACAAAAACAACATTAATAATGAAGTCTTTACAAACAGACTATTTTCCTGAACTTAATACTACTCTGGGCGCACAACAGGTACTCAGTAAATTGACTAATTGACGGAAATAATTTTTTCATGTTTCTTTTTCTTTTCTTTCTTTTTTTTTTGGACTGGACATTTGATTGTGTCAATGTAGGTAATTCTGGGCAACAGAATTCCCTCAGCCAAAGCATAACAGCAACCACTGTGCAATTTCCATTCTCAGAAAGGTGCCTGGGGCACTATGAGGTTAAGTGACTTGCCTAGGGCCCCAGAGCTGGTATTTGTGAGAAGCCAAACTTGAACCCAGATCTTCTTAACTCTGAGTCCACTCTCAATCTATTATGTACATGTTTCTTTTGAGGTAGATTTCCAAAATTTTACATCAGACAAAGAGAATCTGGAAAAAAAGACTTCGCCTTTAAAAAGTAAAAAAAAAAATTACAAAAGACACAATCATTTAAAATATGTATTGAAATTACAAATTAAACTTTTCAATATGATTCCAAGTACAAAACACAACATTAAAAGGCATTCAAACAGCTCATTTTATACATCACAGTGTTAGTGGCACAAAATGTACTTATATTTCAAACACACAAACCGAACATTTTTTTTCCTTTTTTTAAACCATCATCTGGTGCAATATATAATTTATACAACTGCATGACTCATTCATGCATATCTCTATATAGGGTTAAAATACGTCCGCGGCAAATAAGCAAGGGAAAAAAAAAAGGTTGGGTCATATAGCACATACCTGCACCTAATGTTCCTGGAATTGTGGAAGAAGAGGTTTCACAAACCAAAGCCAGAATAAAATCCAGGAGGGCTTAAGACACAAACGGCATGCTCTATTTAAGCACTTTAACAATTCTGTATTAATGCTGCTCTTCTTGCCTCCCTTGGATATTATTCATAATGTTTACAGCAAACTCATTATTTTGTCCATTTTCATAAGGGCTTAGGTTAGTTATAGGAAGTACACAAGCTTTGGTTTTCACACATGCTATATGTATTTTCTTGATATTTTAATTGTCATGTTTTCAGTAAAAAAAAAAAAGAATGAGAAACATACACAGATCCCACCCACAAATACGTTGCTGTGTGAGACCTTAATTTTTAAGTAGACCAAGGGCAGTATTCTTTTGTGATATAGGAAGAGATTTCACTGTAATGCCATTAGAAAATATTATCTTAGTTCTTATATAATTAGTGCATTGCTAGGCATTGCTTTTTTTACCAGGGACCTAGGTTTCCAAACAGGAAATCTGACCTGTTCTAAAATCAGGTGTTCTGGAAAACGTATTCTTGACCCCATTCTTGGAGTGGGAAGAAATTTTTTTTTCAGTTTTGTGGTATTGGGGAAAAAAGGAATGGAGTTGAATGTCCCTTATAAGGTCCTTTAACAGCTTGGTTCTCACTTCAAATGTTTCACCCCTTGTTTCAGAGGCAAGAGCATCCCTGAGGGCAGCTGCCTTGGGCAACAGAAACTGAAGCCAAGTCAGGTGGGTAACAGCACCTTCTGGATGAATCCAAGCAGGAGGATCTCTCAAGTATGATAAAACTGTGTGTTAAGGTGTTGAACTTTGGAGAGGACACAGACAAGAGTAGCCCAGGATGAGCAGGCATCCCGGAGCAACTCGATGAGGCAGCTATAATCTGTATGACTGAGGAGGGTGGGACTTCCAAAAGCATGAGATCACAGATTCATTTCAGTTAAATTGGCTTATTGTAGTGATTTAGATATACCAGAAACTGCACTATGTACCCCACGCCCAGCCAAGACCAATTCATGAAAGATGGATTGATGTAAATAACACAGTTAGTTTGTCCCTTCTCACCCCAGCATTATAAAGCAGTCACATTATTATCTTACAAGGCAAATGATATAATAAAGTTGAAGGATTAAGAGAATGCAAATGAAGAGAACAGTGTGGAATTGACTAACATGAAATTAATGTGGTGTTGCCAATCTATGCAAGAGGCATTGCAGTACGGTAGAGGTGATGTCATAGGAAAGTCAAAGGACCTGAGTTCAAATTCCTATTCTGTCATTTAATTCCAGCGTGATTTGGGCAAGTAACTTCATCATTCTAGATCTGCTTCCTCTCTAAAATGAGGAGGCTGCACTACATAGTGTCTATGGTATCTTCCAGTTCTAAATCCATTATCTCATGAAAGAATGTTGGGCTTTAAGGAAGGATACCTGGGCTCAAGTCTTTGCCCTTACATTGACTGGCCTTATGATCACAAGCATAAGGTCTCTCTGAGCCTCAATTTCCTCATGTGGGAAACAAGGATAGTTATTACTCACACCACTTAACTCTCAAGGGGTTTTATGAGGGAAATACTCGTAAACTCTGAAGTGTTACAGGAATGTGAGTGATTGTTCATGGTATCAACGAGCAAGGAGATTGTTCCCAATGCTTCTGTTGGGTGTCAGGTTCAAAAATCTCATCACGGGTTTCATCTCCAGTTTTACGTATCTTATGTTGTCAGAGCTACAAATACAGTTAACAACGTGTGATGGGCATGTAGAGAGTGGGAGGCTAGCCTCTGCATAGCCTTCCTTCTCCACTGTTATCTTTGATGCCACAAAAAGGCAAGAAAGACCCTGGGAAAACTAGGCAGATCATGCCCTGTGGAGCTTATGTAAAGTCACACAGACTGGGAAGGCATCTACAGCATCAATGGAAAGAATGCCCTAATTGATGAGTTCACTGGGGTGCTGCCGGAGAGAACAATGTTCTGACCCAGTGTGATATGCTAATGAGAGTGAATAGCAGTAATCGCAACAGCTAATTCTGATACACAGCTTTAAGGTTTGCAAAACATTTTACATACATTATCCATTTTGAGCCTCTCAGCAACACTATGAGGTAGATACTAGAGGTATTATTATTATTATACCCATTTTACAGATGAGAAAACTCAGCCTCAGAAAGGAATGTAACTTACCCATAGTCACATAGCCAGAATGTTCTGAAGGGGGGATTTGAACCCACAACTTCTTGACTCTGTCTAGCACTCTTTATATCATACCAAGACACCTCTTCATCAGAGACTCATAGAAGGAACATTGTTTCTCACTAAAGACAAAATTGGCTCAATGGAAACTGTCGAGGTATCGGTAAATCAGATGTGACATGATGCCACAGATGTGTCAGCATAAATGGTTATGTCAAAGTAAGGCAGATGACATTTGCTCAGAAATCAAACCCAGACCCCAAGGTATGCTCAGGGCAGAACATAAGACCCACCAGTCACTGAAACAATTACACACTTTTCTGGCTGCCAACAATTATTTTTTTTCCCTAGAAATATTCCCTTTTATACTTAAGTCCCTGAGGTTGGTGTCTGAAATGGCCTACTCCATAGCTATGTGACCATGGGTGGGTCACTTCATAACCTTAAGCCTCAGATTTCTCATCAGAAAAATGGCGGTAACAATGTAATGAAAATTATTTGGAAACTTCAAAGCATTATGGAAAAAAATAAGTTATTACCACCATCAATTAAGTGCCCACTGAAAATCAGAGTCCAAGGTACAACTCTAAGTGTGGACATAAATGGACATCTTATCCCAGGTGGAACTGACTCCATGCCTCAAGCAATGGAGCTTACACTTGATAGGGAAACCTGATCTTTTAATAATTGATGGAGTTTGGACCTTTGGCAATGTTTCCAAAACGGCAAAGTGAAAAGAGCACTGGACTGAAGTCAGAAGGCTTTGCTTCAAGTTCAAATATTACTGCGAGTTAATGGTGGAGAATTGGGCAAATCGTTTAATTTCTCTAAGCCTCTGTTTCCTCATTTGCAAAACAAGGCTAATAATACACTACTTACCTCAGAGAGTTGTAATGATCAAAGAATAAAATTCATCCGAGGCTTCACCTTTGCAGCTATAAATCATTTTGAAAATGTTATGATATAAATTATGTTATGTTATGTAAAATCCTTTAGCATGAGGATGAATTTTCTTACAATGAAATTGTTCCATGAACAGAATGGATTGCCTTGTTGAGACAGTAGGTTCCTTGACATTGGAAGTGTTCAAGCAAAGGCTGAATGACCAATCATTAGGAATACAACAGAGGGAGACTCTTCTACTGGATAAGGATTAAATTAGATGACCTGAAAGGTCACTGCTGTGAATCTTATTCTAAGATCCTAAAATTCCTAAGTGCTAAAACCTAAGCTTGATGAGCCAGGATCAGAGTACATGTATGCTAACACTGGAAGGATAGGAACAGTATTAATGATTGTAATTATTGACATGAGCAGGGGCTGTTGTAAGCAGTAGGGAGAAGGGCATAGGCCTTGCGATCAGCCCAAATGTGATGGAAAGCTGGCCATCGGCCATGCATTGTGTGGTAGTTTGCTGATGATTCTTCTAGATTATTTAATTCCTGGAGTCTCTGCTGAGGTCCCTAGCATTTATGTCAGTAGTTACTTCTTACATAATGCTCTCCAAGATGATTTTTTAATCCCCTTTTTCCATTTATCAAAGAACTCTACCCAGGGGCCTCCTTGACAACCATGCACAACACACCCACAGTTTGAGTCTCAGTCTTCAGTGGGTTTATCTCAAGGGCTTTATTATTTAATCAATGGTAAACTTTAAATAATCACTTGGAGGGGAAGTAAAAAATAATGTAAATTGGATATCAACTAGCTCTCAAAATAGACTTAGTTCCCCTAGTAAACTTGAACAGGAGTGAAAGAGAAAAAATTTATTTTGTAATTCTCTATGGGTGAAATGTGGCAGGAAACAGAATGGTGCCCTATTTTCAACTTGGGTAAAATTTCTACCCTCAGAAAGGCAAGTCGAGAAGTGAGATAAATATTCAAATAGTTCAAAATGAAAAACTGACAGAAATGACTGGGAAAAGTCACACTTTTCCCTCTCTAGTGTTGGGGACTTAGGTCCCCATGATCCCAACCCTGGCTCTGCTAACTACTGCTCAACTGACTTTGTTCAAGTCACAGCCCTTCTCTTGGCCCAGCTCCTCCTTTGAAAAATGAAGGGATTTGTTCAAATGATCTAGAAAGCTCTTGCCAACTCTGATCCTAAGCGGGGATTTTTTTGCTTAAATCTATCTGGAAGATTGTTTCTTGTCCATCGAGTTCTAAAGAAGAAGAAAAATATCTCTAATAAAAGCTATGGTTTAATTTTTTTTTTACATGGACAGTAGATCACATAAGCGACAGGGAACGTAGCATGGTATTGAGAACCAGCCTCATGGTAACAGGACCTATTATATTTATGTGACATAAGCAGAGCAGTCAGTCTGCCTTCATAAAACATTTGTAGCTCTTAGCCCATTTTATCACAAACCACTTTCAAAGTGCACAATTTCTGTTCTTCTTGAAGCTCATAGGCAGAGTAATTTGCATTTTATGGTTGATTGTGTGCTATTGGCCTCCAGGTAGCTTCTGAATCCTGGAAACCATCACAAAGCACCAGAGTTGACAACATAACCAAACCCCAAAAGACAGTGAATTGAATGACTCTTGTGGGGGGATGTGGGTCATAGTGGCATTACGAATAGCACTGGGACAAGAAAGTAATTTTTTAAAATAGCTAAATAACTTTTTGAAAGTGAAATACAAATTCCAGGAACTCTTCTAGTTTCACAAAGAGGAGAACTTTCTTGCTTTCTAAAGGAGATATCCCTGCTGGGCTATGAGTGAGTCTGCAGGTAGCTAATGAGACAGTAATACTGCACTGTTCTTTCTCCTTGTTTAATAAGACAGAAGCAAGCAGCTTCAGGTTTCTTAAACCCTAGCGATTCTGAACTGAACTATTTACACATTTGGTTTAGAGACATAAAAAGAATCCTGATACCTGTGTAAGAAATTATGAGCCCTATGTGTGGGGTGCATCCTGAAACAGCCATATAAATTCAGAAAGACTGACAAGGATGCTCTTTCAAACATGGCAGTAATTTTCACAAAGAACATCCATGGGGGAGGTTTGCGTCCCTCCCTACTCCAACTAACAGCTTTTCAAAAGACATCAGAACAAGACAAAGCACATGAGACCTTCTAAATGCTTCAAAATGCAGCAAAGCTGGACAAGTCTTGAGGCAGCAATTTTCCTCTCCTCCCACACGATCCTCTTCCCCCCCTCCACCTTCAAAAAGGGCCTGCAATGGTTTCTAGGCAGCCGGTCAATTTCTACTATCCAGATGAAAAAAAAAGACTCCTACTGAGAAGGATTTGGCAATGCCAACTATAAAATGGAGTGTCATCAACAGAGGTCTCCAAAATCTGCTCACACTGATTCTGTTTGAAGTGGCAAGTGATTCTCAAATCCCTTCTCTACAGAGGAGGATTCCATCTTGATGCCGATTGGGACAATGCTTTGTGATTGAATGTCTTTTAGGCTATGGATCTGCCATGTTTGGCCTCCCTCCCCATAGTCTCTGGACATACAAAGTTATCACATATTTTACCGGCTGCGTCTCCCTTTGAAAATCCGCTGACATGTTTCTCCCTGTACAACAGACACTCCATGCCTGACTCATCTTCCACATTCCTGCTGAACCTCTGTAAGTGGGCCTTTGCAACTGCCTTGACATCAGTCCCCAGAATCATGGCACCATGTGTCGCTGGGAAGCAGGATGGGGCACGTGAGGCTGTAACAATGGGGAGTGTGAGGGCAGGGGAGGGAGTGGGAGGAGGAGAGAACCATGTTTCCCCAAAGGCATCAGTCCAGTCTTCCCTGGGTCTAGGTCGGTAGGGGATCATCATCACCTTTATGACACTTGCATTTGCAGCAAAGGACAAAGGGTGTCGCCAGTAACAGGAAAGGGGAGGCCACTAACAGCAAAAGGCCAAAGCCAGCGAAAATGCCCACCACCTGGAATGACAGGAAAAAAAGGAAGAACATGAGATTCATGAGTTTGTGAGCAGAATAGCTCCCATGCAGGCCTAAAACACTCTTAATTACATAGCTGTTTTTAGTTTGTTAAGGTTTTCATTCCAAAGTAATAATAACAACTAACATTTACATAGTACCTACTATGTGTCAAGTACTGTGCTAAGCAATCTACAAATATTATCTCATTTGATCCTCACAACAACCTTGGGAGATAGGTGTAATTATTATCCCCATTTTACAGATGAGGGAACTGAGGCAAAGACAGGTGAAGTGACTTGCATAGGGTCACAGAGGTTATTAGTGTCTGAAGCAAATCACCTAGTCTTTCTGAGCCTTAGTTTCTTTATAGTAAAATAACTTGCTCTATTTCACAGGCTTCTGTTGAGAAACAAATGAGGAGATATCTGAAGTCCTTTGTAAGATATAAAGTATTACATTCACATCAAGTTTTTTCATTGTCATGAGGGTTTGAGAAGCCTCAGCATTGTGTTAAAAAAAATAAACATTAAAAAACAAACTTCTTAGATGCAGAATTAGAAGTTCAGGGTTTGTTTGAGTTGTCGCTCTCCTGCTTCATAGCTGGTGACCTTTGGTCAATCAGTTAACTTTTCTGAACTCATATCTTCTTCTTTACAATGGGGAATAATACTATCTCTCTCCCAGGGTTGTGGTGAGGGAACCATAAGGTACCATATTATTATTGTTGGTTCTTAATAAGAGTAACCTCCTGGGGATGGTATATGGTTATGGATCCTGGAGCGGGAGTCTTTCGGAAGAATGAGCAAGCATTTACATAGCACTTTAAGGTTTACAATGTGCTTAAAACCATATGGGATATTTAAGACAAGACTGTGAGGTTAAATGCTATTATCCCACTTTGGAGATGAGGAAAATCTGAAGCCGGGAGAAGGGAGTCATTAACTTGAGGTCACATAACTAGGAAGTGTGTGAGGCAGTATCTGAACAAAGGCCTTACTGACTGCTTATTAATAAAGAGCACTGTATAATCAATACAGAAAGCCCCAAGGTATGTGCCTGAATCTGACCCAACTCCAGCAAACTTTGAGTAAGCTGACTTACTGAATGGATATTCTTGATCTAGCCTTGTTTTCTGATAATTTACCTGTCTTGCCAGAGTTTCAGATTAATTAGAATATGCAATAGCCCACCTCTACTGAAGTCCTCCTCGGAGAAGTATTCAGTAGCAGGTTTTACCAAGCTGGAAAGATTTGGGGGATGACCCCAGCAACAGGCTTTGAGTATCACCTGAGAACCATTTTCAGTGGTGGGGACGGGTGGGGGAGAGAAGCTTCTGAACAGGGTGGTTACAAAGTAATCAATTCTTTTTTGATCATAGCAGATCTCTTCGCAGATACAGATTCAGAGATTGTTGGAGTTGGAAAAGGCCTTAAAGACAATCTGGCCCAGGAGCAGGCCACGTGTGGACTCAAGGCCTCAGGTTCCCTCATTTTACAGATGGAGAACATGAAAGTCAGAGAGAGGAAGTAACTGGCACTAAGACACATGTCCAATTACCGGCAGAGTTGGAACATGACCCTCAGTATCCTGACTCACAGCCCAGAGCTGGTTCCCGTTTTTGTCTCACTGTGGCACGGGAGGCTTGCAATCCATGACGGTAAAGGGAATATCAACGGAATGGCAGAAATCTTATCTTCCATAGCGCCTGGCAGGGAGAGGGCTGAGCACATAGTATGTGGCCAGCTGATGCCTGTGGATTTGAGTATATGGTCCTGGAGCTCTGTAGAAAGGAGAAAGTGCACCACCTGCTGTCCAAAGCATGAGAATAAACTATCTCAAGCATATGCAAAAGAAGAATTTGGATTGCTGCTTCCTTCTCTCTGCAGAGCCACTCAATGTCTCCTCCTCTGCTACCCCATGTCACCTCCTCTACTCACTCGTCAAGTTTGATTCAGGTGAATAAAAGTTTATGCATTGTCCATGAGAGAATTCTCATCCCTGCTTCCAGTTGCCTGATTCTGTTATTCTATCCTGACTTTAAGCTTTGTGGCATCTAAATCATGTCTTTTTTTTAATTTTAGTTTATTAAAGTATTTGAAAAACTATGACCCAAAGGAGAGATCAGATTCTTTCTCCTTGGTAGCACTGAGCACAACCAGGAGCAATGAGCACAAGTTACCAAGATTCAGATTTCAGACTGATATAAGGAAACACTTCCTGAAAATGAGAGCTATCCAAAAGTGAAACTGAAATTTAAGGAGGTCAAAAAGATGCTGCATGGAAACTTTTTCAGAGATTTTGTAGAGGAGTTTAATGTATAAGGAGATGGTTGGACAAAGTGACCTTCAAATGTCCCTTTCAAATATAAAATTATATGAAAAGCAAATGTAGTGTATCCCTCACTTTTCTGAAAAACACAAGTAATAGAAAATAAAAAGGGATGGTCAAGAGATTCTATAGACTCTATACCTTAAAATCACTTATTCTTAATTAACATATATTTCTAAACAAAGGTGGTAATCTGGTTTCCCAGCCCACAGAAGAGGAGAAGGTTAATGAAAGGTAAGAAAGGATGCTAAAGAATGGTACACTGATGGCATTAAACGGTGATGCTGGCCAGCCTGATAGTGAAGGAAAAGATGAAAATCTACAAAAAAAGTTTAAGAACCCCTGATCTAGAGCAACCCACTGATTTTATGAATGAAAAAAAAATGAGTATCAGAGAGGTTAAGTGCTTTTCTTGGACATAAAAGAAATAAGTAACAGAATTGGGATTTGAACTCAGGTCCTGTCTTGAAATCCATTGTTTCTTTAAAAAAAAAAAAAGCTAACATTTATATAGCACTTACTTCATATTAGGCTCTGCTATTATCCTTACTTTACGGATGAGGAAGCTGAGGCAAACAGAGATTAAGTGACTTGCTCAGGGTCACACAGCTAGCATGTGTCTGAGGTCACATTTGAACTCAGATCTTCCTGACTGCAAACGCAGCACTCTATATACTATACCACCTAGCTACCTTCAAGGAAAGGTGAAGTTGTATTTAATAACCTCAGCTTTCTAAAACAACATTATATTCCATTTTAGAAAAACTTCTATCAAGAAGAGGTATTTTTAAAAATGCATTCTATATTTAAAGGCATAAGCATCTGTAAAATTCAGTTTGTGGAATACTCCAGTGCTGAAGATGTAGGATAAATTAGGTGTTACTGTATATATTGCAGGTTCTCTTCTATCTAATCTCATATAGGTATGTTCTGGCTTGAAAACAAATGGATGGATTACATGCTATCTCTAGGTCATCTTTGGTCTTATGAGTTCATTCTATGATTACCATTAATGAATAAATAGGTTCCAGTCTCAAGATCAGGAATAAAATCTAGGGTTGATGAGTAAAAGAACAACAAAGGATATTTTAAGGATACAAAAGCAGTTTGGGGGAGAGGCAAAGGCAAAGTCTCAACCAGGTGAGTGAACTCTTAACTCACCATTAGCCTTCAATAAAGCTTGTTCAGTGAAACCAGTCAGTTGTTTTACAGAAAATCACAGTCTGGACTTAGAAGTTAGCTTTGGCATTATCTAGGCCAACTGCTTTATTTTACAGATAGGGAAACTAAGGCTCTGAAGGAAGTAGTGCCTAGACTCAAGGCACACATAAGGTTCATAGTGGGAGGGGGTGGCAATCAAGATCATCTACTCAACACTCTCATTTTGCAAATGAGGAAGCTGGGGCCCAAAACAAGTTTTGACTTGTCCAGTGTCACACAGGTCAGAACCAGGATTAGAAGCCAGATTGTCTGTCTACATAACCAATGTTCTTTCCTTTGCTGGAAGTTTATTTTAAAGGCAAAGATAGATGAGAAAACATGATTTAGTGGAAAGAGCTTTGACTTGAAAAGTCTGTTGGACTGATACTCTGGAGGGCAGACACATGTGGGGAAGGGAAGGTAGATGTTTTCAGCTGGCTTGCTACCCAACAGTGCTAATCCTGTGTATTTTACTCCCTCAATAGATGCTGTTTTTTTATTTGAAGATGTGGTGTTCTCCTTGGGATTGGGTATGAAGATTAAGGCCTCTTAAGGGTGCCAAGAAAGCCCCTTGTTAAAAAAAAAAAAATTCTGCCATGAGCACATTCTAACATCAAGAGAGTCAAGTGGGCCAACCTTGAAATTATCACCTAGTTGAAATCAACTTCTACAACTGGGGGCTTATAACAGGATAAGGAAGGCAAAGAGGAGAAAGAATGGAGGAAAAAAACTAAGTCAGGGTGTTATTCTCACTTGACACGTCTTTCTCTTTATTAGAACTATTCACACATTTTCTTGCCTGAGAGATATCTATATCACCCAAAACTGTTTAGGGGCTCCTTAGCTCTCCAATAGCCCAGTATTATAAGCCATTACCTTCCCTAGGGAAACAGCCAATTCACTCTTCCCTGGATGGGTATTTCTACATAAATTCAATATAAGATATCTTCCTGTAGGGATAGTTCTTTCTGTCTCAGCATGGTTAGCATCTTGCTGTTTCTCAATTTTCTTTTCCTGTCTATTTTATTAGCAGGTGGGTTTCTAGGCATGTCTTGATTTAAATCCTTACCTGTACTCTGCAGGCCTTGTAATATAGGGGACTATGAGAGCTGGTACTGAATAGACTGAGGTGGATTTTGGTGAGTCTATATTTTAGATGAAAGGTAGCACTGCTCAGTGAAAATTGCATTGAGCTGAGAGTCAGGGCACCTGAGTTCTAGACGTGGCTCTGCCATGACCAACTTGGGCAAGTCACCTTAGAATCACAGAGTCACTGACACAATTCATTGACCTCAGTAGTCAGAAAGGCCCTGGTGCTTACCACCTGTGTGACGCTGGACAAGTCACATAACCTCCCAAAGCCTCAGTTTCCTCATCTGTCAAAGGAGTTGTATTAGATGACCAGTAAGGCTCCATTCAGTTCTAGAGCTATGCTCCTATTATAATCTAATCCTCTTATTTTACAGATGAAGAGACTATAGTACATGGGGTTCACAGACTGTCTGAGGCCCTATATTTAGGGCCTTCCTGAACAAGGTTATCATAGGTCTGCTTGGTATATGTCTTGTATATACCAATATATGTACATATTGTCTCTTCCAGTAGAAAATAACCTCTTTGAGTACAGGAACAATTTTGGTTGTGTCTTTGTATCCCCAGAACTTAGTACAGTGAGTGCCTCACACGTAAGAAAGGCTGAATAAATGTTTGTTGACTGATTGTTTAATAAGAGATAGAGCTGGGATTAGAACCTACATCTCTCCCAACTCTAATAAGTCCTCTTTTTCTGTACTGAGCTTTAGTTTTCTTATTTATAAAAGCAGAAATAACAATATATGCCTTGTGTTCCCACACTTGTAAAATTGGAATAATATCTGTTCTGTTTGCTTCATAGGAGAGCAAATTAAAGCATGTATATGAAAGCACTTTGGAAATGATAAATATATAAAAACATAAAGTATCCTATACCTCATCATTTTAACTGTGTTTATATGGGAGTAGTATAGTGACAAGAGCTCTTGACTGAAAGCCAAGAGAACTGGGTTCTAGTCCCAGCTCTGTCCCTTCACTTCACTGGTCCTTAGTTTTCTCCTCCAGAAAAGGAAAAGTTAAAACCAGATGTTCTATAAGGTCCCTCCAAGCTCTGAAATTCTGTGACTGATAATCTGATGTGACACAATGTCAAATAGAGGACCCAGCCCCCTCTAAATGTAAGGCAGAGTAATAGTTAGTACACTTGGGGACTAGGAAATCCCTTTTTTCAATGTCCATAGGGAAATGAAAGTCCACATACCTGATTCTGAAGACCTAGCAACTGGGTGGGTTATCATTGTTTTAGAAATCTGCCCTGGAATCTGTCCAGTCCACATAGAACTGATTCTCTGTTTAGCTTGGGGGTTTGCCTTCTGGTATGTTTCAGTTTTATTTTTTATTAAAGGATGCTAACAAATATAGTGAATGAATGAAAAAGCATTTATTAAGCACTTACTTAAGGTATTGTGCTAAAAAGACAAAAGGGAAACAGTTCCTTCCTTCAACCATACATGCCATTAGGGCAGGGGTTCTTATTCTGGGGATCTATAGAAGGGGTCTCTAAATAATTTCAAGGAGTTTGTGATTTTTTAAATATTTTGATAACTATATTTCAATGCAAATGGTTTCCTTTGTAAAGACATGTGTTTTCTTTTATGCATTTAAAAACACTATTCTGAGAAGGGCTTCACCAGACTGTCAACAGGGTCCATGACACAAAAAAGGTGAAGAACCCTCACAATACAGAGAAGCAATGCATAAATACATAAATAAATGGGAGTGGTGGCCTGGGAGAGGTATTTTAGTTTATGAAATCACAAAGAAGGAGAGTGGCACAACAAAGCAGTCAATCGACATAGCTTTTCCAGAAGCAATGTTCTTATTGGTTTAACTGCAGGTCTCAGAGCAAAAGTTAAAAGAAATGAGTGGGGGGGGGCAGAGATTAGTAGAGTTGGAGATGGTATATACACCCACACACAGGGGTACAGGCTGAAAAAAGGCTACCTAGAAAAAGCATAATTGGGCCTGAGGCTGACTAGTTAAAATGAGTTTCATCAACTGGTTCACCAATTTCACCAATAATTTATTTCACCAATCAGGAACAGCCTGGCTGGCCATTATCCAATTCTGGCCACATAATCACCAATGGAGTCATTGTGAAATACACTAAAGTATAATGGGCCCACTCAAGATGTGAGTGTTTTTTTTTTTTTAATTTAGTTATCTCCTGCATTTCTGCAGAGCACAACCCCTCCATACCTTAGCAGGAGGTTTGATAGCTTGCTATTGCTTTAAAAGAAAAAAAATGACTAATGCTCAGAAGACTACATCCTCTGCCACTGATACTGTTTTGAGGCCTCTCTGGCTTGGTATTACTTGCCAAAACTTATGGAAATTGGGGAGGTAGAGCTTTTGAAAGCCACTGAAAAGCATCAAAAAGCTACTGGTGGAGACATTATAGAAATGTAAGTTATCATCAAAGGTGAATCAAATGAGATATTTGTAAAGCACTTAGCACGTGGTGCCTGGCACATAGTATGCACTTAATAAATGCCTGTTCCCTACCCTACCCCCTGTTAAAGGTGAAAATAGTTGTTTTTTAATTATGGAATCAAAGAAGACAGATCAAAGGTCTAAGAGGATGTAGTATTAAAATTAGCCAATGGCATTCTAATAATCCACATACACCTATTGGATATAATTCAGGATTTGAAGTCAAGAAGATCTGGGTTCAATTTCTGCTTCTAACTGTACCTGTGGAAAATTACTCACTTAACCTCTGCACTCATCAGGCAGCTTCCCTAGGACTTATCTTAGATAAGTATTAGATAAGGTTGAGATCTGCACTGGTAGAAAAATTCATTCAATGCTTTCCAAATCATAGATCCTTCCCATTTTGCAAAATAAATCATCAATACATTGGTCTCCCAGGAGAATTTTTCAGTCTTTCCAAATTATGGATGGTTTCTTATTACTACTTGTAGAAATTGCTATTTCACCAGGGGGCGCTGTAACACTAAAGAAGATATTAAAGCCTGAACGCCTTAACAAACACCCCAAGTATGGCGCCTTGAAATTTGGTTGTCCTCTAGATGAAGAATATCTTTTTAATGAATGTTTATCTGGGAAGGAATCATGTAAAGACTATTTGATATGTGGGGTGAAAAGTTAAAAAAAGGATGCAATGAAGGCCCATTGTAGTGATATATCTATATACCTAAATCTCTCTATATACATATACATATACATCTCTCTCTCTCTCTCTCTCTCTCTCTCTCTCTCTCTCTCTCTCTCTCTATCTATATCTATATATATATATATCTATATATATATATATATATATATATATATATACACACACATACATATATACACATACATATATACACGTGTGTGTGTGTGTGTGTGTGTGTGTGTGTGTGTGTGTTTTCCTACCCTCTACTCTTGGGCTGTTTCCCAAATAAATCACAGGAATCTTTGAGATTCTTAAAATGCCATAACTTTTTTTTTTGGAACTGCATAAGAAAATGTTCTAAGAAGGAACTTCATAGCAGGGCCTACCCTATGTTTACACTTCATTCTGAAGGTATTTTTAATGTTTTGAAAAGTAAAATAATTTTCTATCACATCTAGCTAGTCCTTTCCTGTAACAAGTTTCAGAGGTGACAACTTTTCACAAGTTACACAATTAAAAGATTTTTTCGAGCTGAAAAAGACCTTGAAGGTCATTTGGTCCTAATCCCGAATTTTACACATGAAGATACTGAACCTTCCCTCCCTCCAGGCTTATCATCCATATGTATACCTAGTGCTATCATAGTTGCAAACCAACAGGCCACCCCTTGACCATCATGCCTTCTCCCTTCAAGCTCTGAAATGCAGTGGGAAGAACCCTTGATTTGGTTTTAGAATAACTGGATCCAAATCCCATTTCTGCTATTTTGTATCTAAGTAGATAGAGATTGGCCAAATCATTTCTTTGCCTTTAAGTTTCAGATTCTTCCTCTATAATTAGGCATGTGAGATTAAATCACATTACCTCTAAATTCCCTTTCGGTTCTAAATAGCCCTCCTTATGTGAGGTTGGTAGTGAAGGCATTCACCTCAATTTACAAATGAAGAAGTAGGCACAGTGAGATTACCCCTGGATAGCCCTTGTGTAACCTTAGATAAGTCAGTTTTCCTTTTTGAAACTTAGTTTCTTCACTGGTGATATTAGGGGGGTGGGGCATCAGGTGAACTGGATGCTTCTCTAAAGTCCCTTTAAACCTAATGATCTTATGCGGATTTTCTCACTTTTTTTTCAGACTGTTACTTCATTGCTAACTTAGATTCTGCTAGTGTCTTCTACGGAAATCTCATCACCAATTAAAACTTAAGCAATTATAAATTTAGGTGGATTTAAAAAAAATTCATACAATATCTTAAGAGGAATATCTTCACTATAAGACTAGCTTAGGGCTCCTGAAATCAAGTCTACGACCAATAACCAGGCTCAGGAGAACACTTCAACTTCCTGTCCAATGCATCCAACTAGCCACTTACTATGAACTCATGATATCATTAATAAATAATACACACACTAACACACAGCCAGAAATCACAGTATTCCAGTTTGGGAAAAAACCCTGGTGCCCACCTGCGTTCTATGCCAGATTACAGATGCTCTGGAGTGACCAAGCTTGTTCCGACAAGGTCCTTTATCATAATGTATTAAGAGGAAGTCATCCTGTAAAACAAGAGGGGAAGAAAAACAAAACAAACAAGAAATAGTAAGTGAGAGAATTCTATTCATTTCATGAAACCCCTGCTCTGGCAACTAAGCTTTTGGGCCTACAAATAAATGGTTGAGCTTGTTAACAGAGCAGGTGTTTATTCTCAGAATATATTTTTTTAAATGCATAAAATAAAATTCACTGGATTACAAAAGAAAACAATTATACTGAAAAGCATTTGTCATTTTTTTTTTTATTCACAGATCCTGGGGAAGGAGTCCTGGAGAAATCTTCATTGTGATTCAAAAAAGGCAAGTATTACTTGGGACAGTAGACTCTCATTTGCTTAACAGAAAAATCTGTTGTAATATTAACTTTGTACACAAAAAGACACCTTTGATATGGCATGTGTCTAACTTTTATATTCCTTAGATTTCTTTTTATGTATTTCTATTCATTGAGACAGTCAAATCAGAGAAGGCAGACTTAGGTAGTAGGAAGACCAGTAGACCAGGAAACTTGGTTTTTTTTTTTATTAGCAGTGTGAGCCTAGGGAAGCAATTGCACTTCTCAACCTACCTCACTTGTTAAATGGAGATAATAACAGTGGAATCATCCACCTCACAGGAATGTTGTGAGGAAAGGCCTTTGTAAACTTTACAATAGTCTATCAATGCTAATTGTTATTTATCCTCCCAACTATAGATAGGGATGTTTATCAACTCATGGGCTGAGACTACACTCACTTCCATTTTCTTAATACTAGGAAATCAACAAAATCTCTTATGTTGCTGCATTGGCAAGAAAAAGTTATTTTTTTAACAGGTTCTGGTTGAAAAAGGAAATGTCACTGCTTATTTAAATTGAATATTCCAAAGAAAAACTGAAGACAGTTTATTCTTCCCCTGTGACTGTAAAAACTCAGGCCCTCCTTCTGAAATGAATGTAAATAAACCTCAGGCCTTTCTAAATATAAGAACTGGTGAACCTGGATTCCTGTGCTCTCAGAGGTGGTTCTTAAAGACAGCTATAACAGGGCTGGAGGAGTTAGCTCTTTTTGGTGTCAGGACTCTTTTAAAAACAATTCCCTGGCCCTGAAGTCAGGAGGACCTGAGCTCAAATCCAGCCCCAGACCAAACACGTGACACTTACTAGCTGTGTGACTCTGGGAAAGTCACTTAACCCCCATTGCCTAAAAAAATAAAAAATAAAAAATAAAAATAAAAACAATTCCCTAGAAAATGGAGGACTGAACGTTTTCTCTAATCCTCATAACTTCTCTGAAACTTCTCTAAAATAGAAGTTATGAGTGAGAGATAAAGCAATTTCAGCTGCCTCCACAGTTTAGGAACCCCAAAACAGAAACAAGGTAAAAATCTGATAAACTAATACAATACTACCTAATCTTTAACATGCATTCTCAGTATCTACTCACCCACTACCCCGTCCCAAATAAGCTAATACACAGGCTTGTACCACAATTCAACAACCTCACTCCTTCCTGGGGTGTCAGAGATCCAAAAAGCAGAAATATGCTCAGTCTAAGCTAAGAGTACAACAATGTTGTATGCTACAACAGAGCTCAGCCAGAGAACTGAGGAACAGAGGAAACTGAGGCAGAACACATGTGTGAGGTTCTGTGGCATCCCACTAAGGAAAGGCAAAAGTATCTAGCTGGGGTCATTTCTGTCCCCCCACAAGTCACTTGGGGCAAAGACCACAGTTGGTAAACTATGAATTGCCCATCGTAAGAGAAAATTGAGACATCTTTGAGATACTGCCCTGAAAGAAATTACTATTAAAGGGGAGGGAGTTAGAAAGTGAGCAAAAGGAAAATGTAAGGAAAATGACTGAAATTACCAAAGATCTTAGGAAGAAAAAAACTCACTTAAAGACCTTGAACGTAAAGCACATGAACCAGCAGATAAGATAATAAAAGAAAGAAATATGGACTACTGATCAGAGAAAAAAGTTCAGACATTTCTAAATACATATTATAAGACAAAGAAAAATGAATCAATGCCTGATAAGGCAGAGGACCCTGTGAATTCCAAAGAAAGTATATTTTTAAATAGTTTAAAAGAGAATAAGAATTTTGAAAGCAAAATTTGTGACCTGCAGAGTGAAAGTAATTGCCAGAATAGAAAAACTTGAACCCACTGTGGCAGGTCCCACTAAAGAAACAAAACAGAGGATAACTGCTTGGGAATGCAAATACAAGGAAGTAAAGAACAATGTGGAAGAACAGAAGCAAAAAGCAATAACATTAAAAGAAAATATGATCTCCATACAAGCAAAACATACTGATTTCAAGGACAGAATGCTCAGAGACAACTTAAAGATTGTAGGTCCCCCAGAAGAACATGACATGCCAAAAACCACGAACACCATAATATAAGAAATAATACAAGAAAACTGTCCAGAATTTCTGAATACAGAAAACAAAGTCTCAATCTAAAAAATGCACAGATCACCTCCAGAAACAAACAAAAAACTATTGTGCAAACTCCAGGACACATAGTTGTTAAATTTAACACTGAGAACAAATTCTACAAGCTACGAGGACAAAGATTTTTAAATATAAAGGAAAAGAAATTCAAACAACAAAACTATTTTGTCCTTACTAGAAACCACAGAAGGGAATAGAATAATGTATTCTGGAGAGTAAGGGCCTCCAGATGCAACCCAAAATTACTTACTCTGCAAATCTCAGCCTAGTCATTAAAGAAAACACATGGTTGTTCAATTGAAAAAAAAAAAAGAGTCATTCAAAACATTGCTAGAGAGAAAACCAGTTCCTTGGACGCCTTTCTTTTGGTGTGGTATAACAGAAAGGTGAGCTGGACCTACAGTCTGAAAGTTTAAGTCTGAATCTTATCTCTGACACGTACTGGCCACCAGCAGTCTTCTCACTCTAGACAGGACTCTGCCCTGTGATCCTCTATTCTGATTGGGTGACTTTGTGAGCTACGCCAACATTTCATGATTTGCCTAGGCCACGGTCCCTTCACTCCTGACTCGACTTCTGATTCTCCAGTCCTCTCCATCACCTCACTAGCAGCTTTGCCCCAAATGTGTGGTATCTCCTACCCTCTTTGCAGCCTTCCTTGATGATTGTTTTTAGTATCTACATAATACTTCATGGTTAACAAAGCACAATACGTATGTTATCTCATTTTATACTAAGAACAGTCCTGCGAGATAGGCAGTATTAATATAATCCCCATTTCTTATATATGTGTTGTCTTCCCTCATTAGAATGTCAGTTCTTTTAGGATAGGGATTATTTTTTTCTCCTTATATTTTTATCCAGCTAGGAACAAAAGATGGGGGCAGCTGAGTGGTACTATAGATTGAATGCAGGGCCTGGAGTCAAAAAAATCCTGAGTTCAAATTCAGCTTCAGACACCGACGAGCAGTGTGACACTATACAAGTGTCTCAAGCTGCCATTTGCCTCAGTTTCCTTATCTGTAAAATGGGAATAATAATAGTCCCTCCTCCCAGGGTTGTCATGATGATTAAATGATGGTAAAACTTATAAAACACTGAGTACCTAGCATGTTGTACCATATAAATTTTATATACTATACAAATACTATGTTACATATATATATACATATATATATACACACACACACACACACACACACACACACATATATTACATACATTTTAGCTATTAATTTAATTGTTATATTATTAGCATCTTTATTCCTCTTCCCTCCTCCCCATTTTATATAGGACCCAGTGCATACATCAGTCACTCAGTAAATATTTATCAAATGAATAAAAGTTTGTAACACATGTTTCTATCCTCATCTTATGACATAGGCTTTGTAAAAAGCATTTTGCTATATTAAGATCAGTTACGACCTTGTCCCATGCCCCACTACAGTTTAACTAACAAGGCTTTTAGATCTAACAATGGCAGGATTTGACTGGAGTCTTGGTCTATTTGTTTAGGATGCCACATTTCCTTCACCATTGTGTTAAAGAGAGTTTCAGTAAGCTGGCAGTTAGAAGCAGAAACAATGGGACAAATTTTAAAAAGTCACAATCAGCAAGACAGTCAAGGTTAAAAATAAAATCCTTTGTGTTTGCCAGCCATCTCAAGAGTTTAAATTTGTTTATATTCTCCTATTTTTTTTTTCAATTTTACTCCTCTTAAAAATTCATGACTTGAGGTTTGTACTTTAACACCATTGATTTTAGTCCTGGTCAAAAATCCCAAATTTCCCAAATTTTAATAATTACAATGCACATGAGGTCATCATCACTAACCAATATTTTTAGGCTATCTGCTACAAGAATGGCACCATGGGGGCCACAGAGAGAAATAACAGCAACAATTCCCATTTCTACGGCACTTTTCAATTTTAAAATTTCTTTCAACACACAGTCATTAAACACCTATTACGTGAAAAGCAATGTTCACAGTGGGAGATAAAAAGCTGAGAAATGATATCACCATGATAATGATAATAATAATAGTAGCACATAGCATCTGTATAGGACTTTAAGGTTTGGAAAGCTTTACATATTTCATCACATTTAATTCTCACAATAGCCTCTATGACAAGTGCTATTACATTCCCTCTTTTGTAGATAAGAAAACTGAGGCTGAAAGTTGCAAAAGGACTGATCCATATAATTAGTGAGTGTCTGAGGCAGGATTTGAATTCAGATCTTCCTGCCTCCAAGTTCACTGTTGTATCTATTGTGCCAACTAGATACCTCTAAGGAGCTTAAATTAGGCCATGGCATGGAGAAGGGGCAGAGAATAGAGAGACACAAGAAAATAAATATCATATGAAGAAGGGTATGATAAAGGTATGGGAGAAATCTATGTAAAATATTCTAGAATAATGTAAATCTGAGAAGGGTGAGAATACCTTAAGCTAGTGGGAGGTCAAAACAGGGAAAGTCAGGAAAGTTTACAAAGCATTTTCTTCACAATACGCAAACAAATTTGAGATTCAGAATGGTTCATTGACAGGCTTCTCAGGCTGGATT